TTTATTTATATGTTTTTGAATTGTGCTACATTAATTTGTAAAAGTTACGAATGAAATGTCATTAGTAGTATTTATGTAGTGTTGCTGTAAATATTAAAAAATTTAATTATGGTACGGAACTGAACGGAATCGAACCGACCCAACCCGACCCGAACCGAACCGAACGGAACCGAACCCGAACGGTTCCATAATTATATTTGGACCAACGGGTCCATTTATTAAATACCCGAAAGTTTTGGGTCGGTTCGGATCTTTTCAGAACCGAACCGAACCGACTTACGGACAGCCCTATCGCTGTTTGATGGTAGAAAAAATAATGTTTTGAGTATTGATTTTTTGGATAATGTGTGATTAAAAAATATGAAATTTGTTGAATTTATATGAAAAATATATTGTTTTTATAAATGTGTGATTAAAAATGAGTATGAAAATTTAAAAAAATTGTTTTGAAAGGAAAAAAGGGCTAAATATCACGGTTGAGCTTGAAATTGGTCCAATGGTTTCAATTGGTTTCGACGTTCATAGTTTACCTACCATACCAATAAAACATGCTACGATTTCAACGATATTTGTTTGCGTATTTGACAGAACGGATTTGTTTAGGCTTTAAAGATCTGTAATTAAGAAAGATCAATCCCGAAGGGCTGTTGATCTCGTGGTTTCCGGCTTTAAATTGGCAGCGAGGCCAGATACAGAATCAGGGACCCCATCAAGGTAATATTATCTGAAACGGATCGTCTCTTACATTACATATACTCATTCACTTATTTCATCGTCATGCATAAATTTGTTGATGTGAGTATGTCTTGTCTTGATGAAATTTCAACACCGTGCCACGTTAAACTTGTCGTCGATCTTGTCCATTAATTAAGATGAGAAAATTTCAAGCGTCTTTTCAGGTTTTGCTGCTCATGGATTGATACGAGTATAATCACCTATCTCCTTCAAGTTTCAACGTCACTAAACATGTTCATTTCTTTGGTACCAATTTCTTTCTTTTTCTTTTTTAAATAAAATTGTGAATTACTTTCGCCAGCATCTTCGTTATTATCTATTCCATTTCCTTTAGATGCTGGGGATCGTGAAGATATTGGCTTTAGACAATTTTTCTTTATCAAATTTCTATGCATAGGAGGGGAGGACGAATTGCTTTGGGGGGGGGGGGGGGGGGG